ACGGTCTACAGGGCCCAAACTTGCAATACATACTACAATTCTACGCTTGTGAATCTGTGTCCCCCCTTAACTCATGCAGAAGCTTACGAAACTGTTCAAACCTTCGTACTAACTTCAGCAACATCGCAATGCAGACTTGTCCGCTAGGATGAAACGGTAAAACCACCGATACAAGTGTTAAGACGATCTACGAAACCTAAACCCTAACACCTAAACCCTAAACCGTGGTAAACCAAGCAGCTTGCCATAAAGACAACATGTCTACACTTGTCATTCTAGTCTCCTTCCAAGCTACTTCAGGCACAACTTCCCTTGTGCGCCAAGATGGAACAGTAAAATCACCGATACAAGTGTTAAGACGGTCTACAGGGCCCAAACTTGCAAAACATACTACAATTCTACGCTTGTGAATCTGTGTCCCCCCTTAACTCATGCAGAAGCTTACGAAACTGTTCGAACCTTCGTACTAGCTTCAGAAACATCGCAACGCAAACTTGTCCGCTAGGATGAAACGGTCAAAAATCACCGATACAAGTGTTAAGACGGTCTGCAAACAGGAATCCTGCCTCAACCCTACTCAAACCCTACTTCTCAAGGAAAGGCGGCTTTGCTTCTGGGTTTAATCGGCCATAACAGCGCTGTGAGAATGACCGGAAGACGAATTCTTTCACTGCGGCTCGCTGCCGATAAGTCCAGTCCGAGCAGTCCTGCGGATCTAGGCGTCCATCAAGTCGCAGCTTGCTGGGAGACTGAACGGCAAAATTCCAACAAGTGCTTCATTCTGAAGCAATTTACTTCTTGCGGCGCTTCGCGCCGGCTTGCCTAGACTTGATCGACTCCGGCTGGGGTCCGGTCTTACTGCTCTCTGCCTCCTCCGTCTGCTTACGGGGATTCTGGTGTTTTGCTCCCTCTACGGAAGCAGCTGCCTCGGTCTTCTTGTCATCCTTGCTGCGCCGGCGTTTGCTCTTGCGCTTGCTCTTGCGTTGTCGTTTATCGGAACATGAGGATGCGGAAGAACTGCTGCGGCCACGCTTGTGAGAACCCTGGGCAGCCTTTGCCTCCTTCTTCGCCATGAAATCTTCTCGAAGATTCTTGCTCTCCGATATGAGATGGCCACGCTGCAAATCCGTCAATGCATCTACGCTTATGTGCTTGATGCCGAACTTCCTGCAGAAGAACTGTAGGCGGTTCCAGCAAAAATGACACGAAGATCCGTGGTGTAACTGCCGCAGTCCTGCCGGGCATTTTTCCTCTGCGCAAATCTTGCAGTTGGAATGCTTCTGCCAACACAGGCCCAAAGGATTTCCCCGCTTCATGACCTCGGGGTTTAAGATATACCTTTCCAAAAGCAATCCTAAACTCTTAACCCTTCTATTACCCTAAACCAAAAAGTTTTCTCCAACACATTTCCTGGGTATGCTCCGGCCTTGGTGCCTGCCACTGTCACGGCAGCCTTGTCGCTCGACAAAGGTTGCTGGCATGGAGCTTTGGTCTTCGGACTGCCCCAAATCCTATACTCCAAGGACGTCGGCTTTGTAGATTTCTCCGGTGTGCGCTCGCAATTCGCACTGTCCTGCCCGCTCCGAAGCATGCTTAAGCGAAATGTACCTCATTAACTAATTGGGTGCTTCCGCAGATTACGGTATCTTATAAACGGGTCCGATTATTTCGGGCAATACGGTTGATGGACAAAATCCTGCATCACCTTATAAACCTAAACTATGGGATTTGTGGTACTATACTATATTCGGGTCATGCAGAATTTTTGTCCATCAACAGTATGAACGTCCCCTATCGGAAACCCTCACGCCTGTTAACCAATCCCTAAAGCCTCAGTGTCAAAATCCAAGCCAGAACCGTCGCACCTTCGTGGAGGACTTGCAAGGCGTGTGAACTTCTTCAGCCGGTGGGGGATCCTCGCTGGGGTCCTACTTCATCATTTACCCACACTGGAAACCGCTAACTTGGTACCTCCCAATCCTAAACCCTGAGCCTAGTCTCAGAAATTCGATACGCTATCCAAATCGACAGCTCCTGGACAGCGGACTTGCGCGGTGAGTGGTCTGGTTTCCCGTCTGGGGCTGCGTCGCTGAGTTCCTGACATCGGCTCCCGCTAAATCATTATTTTTGCGGACGCGTGCTTTCTACATGCTCAGACCGGCCTTCCCCGGAGTTGCTTTCACTGGACTCTGAGCAGCTGCTGCTGTTTTCTCATCCCTGCTGTTGCCGTCCTCAGGGGGACCGCAACACCAACCTCTACTCAGAATAAAAGCCCCCAAGTAGTACCACACTGTTTTAATATCTGGCTAACTCCGACTCACTTTCCCCAGACTTTCGGCTGCATTGGAAGCCCCTCCTTCTGCTCAGTTTCAACAGCAGCGGACTCCCCAACCTTGGCGTCGATGCCATGCTCCTGCAGGGAGTATGGCCAAAAACACACGGCTACTGCCAGAGACTTGCAAAGGAGACGAACGACGAGAACACACTCCTACCTCCAGCAAGAGCTTCTTCAGAAAGTCTTTCAGCTCCGGAACCGTAGTGAGCTTGCTGGCTTCCAACTTCACACGCAATCGCTCAGCTTCTGCCTGATCTTGACGGCGGCAAATCGCCTTGCTCTTGGTGCCGATGGAAACCACATAAGTGTCTTTGAACCCCGTGGAGCCGAGTCGAGGCTCTGACCACACGAAGAAGCCGGCCATGGCGGGGAAGCAGCACTAGCACTAGCGCACTATGCCATTTGGCCATTTATTGGATACATACCCAAACCACGGTCCCAGGGATGCACAGGAGTCGAGGAATGCAGTGGATGCGCTAACCGGAGAAGAGGGGAAGCCGGTGCACACGGGCGGACTGTCAAGAAACTGGAGCCAACGTGGCACATCGAGATGCTAGATCACCGAAAACGGTCTGTTCCCAGGGGTATGTTTCAAGGGTATGTTTCGGGGTATGTTTCGGGGTATGTTTCGGGGTGTGTTTCGGGGTGTGTTTCGCGGAAGGCCAACTTCCCTCCAAGACTACAATTTGAACCCCCCCCAAAACTGACAGACCCATATGCGCAGAGGACACCGTCGGCAACAATGAAATGACTCGCTATTCCCTGCCGGAGCGTTGGCTGTTACATTGAATCCGCTACCATTCGATGCACGCTTACATGAGCATGCAGCGCACATAGCTCATAGCAGCCGTCGGTTAAACAGCTTTGAAAGCCTGCTTATGGTGCCTCATGTGTTGCAGATGCATACGATGCATTCCCAGCACAGGTACACCGTCAAGCGCGTGCTCAGCCAAGACAACCTTCAGAAAGCATGTGTGCAAGAGCAGGCGGCAGCTAATTGTTAGGTGATGGTGATCGCGATGTCGTGCTTGGTGCTCGTCGTCTCAGCCGGTGTAGGAGTAAAAGAGTAGTAGTTGTCGTCGTGGTGGTGGTGGTCGTAGTGGTGGTGGAAGTACTAGTAGTAGTAGTAGTAGTAGTAGTAGTAGTAGTAAGCGCCACGAGTGGTCCAAGACTAGGGGGGTTCATGGCGCTGGCTGCAATCCCAGACTGGATTCACCTTCGGGCACGTCTTATTGACTGTCTGTTGGAAGAGCTGATCTGCGAAAACGCAACGGAAAGTCAGCTGCAGTACTTCAGAGCATTGTGCGCAGCATACTGGACGGAAGCCACAGTTGCTGAATTGCTCGAGGACGCCAGCTCTCTTCTATCCGCGCGTGAGTTCCTTCTACTTCAGGCGTTGGCTGAGAACGTGGACAGCGCTGCCTGCAGCTAACCGGGTGCACCAGAATGCACAATTATGCAGGCTTGAGCACAACCCCCACTACAACGAGTCCTCCCTCCATGCGAAGCACGCACCATCGCACCGAGAGTTCGAGACAATACACAAGATCATCTGGAGGCCTCTACTCGGCCCGGTCCCAAGTCCGGGCGCTGGGTACAGCTGAAGAACATCACCAGAATAGTTTCCCGGCGGGC